AAAATCTGCTCACGTTATCATGTAGTACTCAAAGAGTGACCATGACGAAGTGCTATTTGTTTTACATTTCCGTCGAAAATAAAGCTAGGAGAAAATAAAAACGAAATTCTCAAATTTCGGTTTTCCTCGGATATTTCCAAAACTGCTCGGAATATTGAAACTTTGTAAATGGCATATCATTAGGCACATGAACGCGTTACTTTTCTCTAATTTAACCGAATTCGTATCTCCTACCGTTTCCGAGATCCCCATGCTGTTCATTCTTATCTTGGACACAGTGTATAGGTTAAAATAGGAACGAACAACTTTTAACAATCAAGAAGAAAAATGATATATACTCTTACATTATACATTATATAGAACAAATATACAAGTTCCTCGTAGAGAAACCCCCAGAAACGCAAATGTGAATAAGAAAACACAACAACGCACAGCGAAACAAACCCTAGCTCAAGCCTTTCAGGGCTGAGGAATACCAAATCACAAAACAACTACAAATAGACAGAAGTTTCAATCGAAAATCCGCTAGAGCTGAAATAAATTTGGCCGAGCAAGTTTATCGCGAACGGGCCTAGTTTTTTTCTAGCGACAAAAAAGAGGCGAGCGCTTGATGAATATCCATATGCATCGAACATAGCTGTATACAGTATGTTTCGCCGCAACTTGCCCCCGAAGTCCTTCGAGGGAGGGGAAACCGCAGGAAAAGGGCTTGACCAGATTCAGGAGTTGAAAGGACGGAGGTGACTTACGGGAAAGTACCCTCGATCCAAACCCGTTTCACAATTCTCCAAGGCATATATACATGGTCATCAACAATTTTCTTAACCCGGTATAGGGACCTTCAAAAAGTAACATAAACTTTTTGGTTTTAGAGGTAATTGCTGAGGAAATTGGGTTGGACCGTAACAACACCAAGTAATTAATTGATTTTTTTTTCATGAGGACGAGCGGGATGAGTAGCCATACGACGGTGTGCTTTAGATAAGAAACTTTCCCGAGCCAAAAACAGTTTGACGTGGGCATCGAGTTGGATATGGTCTACTAGGCGAACCTTTTCGGGGGGAAGAATTGACCTAGACGGAGTTCCGAATTGTAACTCTATTGGGGTGACTCCCGTGGTCTCATGGACAACATTATTCAGTAAATAGGCCAACTTGGGCACCTCACATGCTCAACGAGTGTGTTTATCATTACAGAATACTCGATAAAGACGAGAAAGCTCTCGCATCCATCGTTCGGAGGGGTTCGCCTGGGCATGACGTACGGATATAGGAATGGATCACCTGAACTATGTTCGCCTAAGACATTTTTCCAAAGAGCAGAAGTGAATTGGGTTCCTTGATCAGTGAGGATACGCTTCAGAGGGGAATGTTGATGGAAATAGTCTTTGGTCAATCTATTGAGAATAGCCTCCGTTGTCGCCCGTTTGAGACTATACCGGGTGACACAGGAGACATGTAGCAGCCTGTACTTTTTTTTATTTGGAGAGATAAAGTTTTGAAATTCGCAGGGGGTATATAATGAATGGTAGCGCTCTTTACGAACTTAACGAAAATTTTTTTCAACCACCTGTTTGACCGGAAGTGACCCCAACTTTTTTTCTTAATGTCACCCTGTACATTTCTTCAGTCTATCATTTTCGCCTTGAAATTCTCTATCCAACCATGTATCACAAAGTGGCATTTATTTCTTAATTCGCTGTCGAATTGCTTTTTATTCAAAAAGTATAAGTTGGCTGTGACATGAATTCGATGATATATCGACACTTTGTGAGGCTTTGAAATTTAAAGATCATTAGTAAACCGATATTATTCAAAATGTTTTGATATTCTGATCAATGTCTGTAGGTTGTCAAGAGTCAAGATGAAAACCTTCGAAAATAACTCATGATATTGAATAATCTAAGATAGCAACATATTTTTTCGAATCCAGCTACTCGTACAGAAACTATCTGTATTTTATTTTCGCCACATGATCTTCCCATTTGGAATAATAAAACTAAAATTGTTCCTCTTATACGATGATCCACAGGGCTATCAGTCTATTGTTTCATGAATATTTCAATCAGTAGGAGGTGTACCTACACAAAATGTTTGACAGTTAATCGATTGCATCAATGATTTCTCTTCTTCATTTGTGTGATTAAAATTGCATATTATCAATAGAGACGGAAAATGTATTCAAGAAACGAAAAAGTCTATATGTTGTTAATATGCAATTTCAATCAACACACAAATGAAGAAGAAAAATTATTAAATGAATGTGAAAAGCTCACAGTCATTTCCACACAGTGTTCATAAAATAAACAACAATGGTAGATTTCGGGAGAAAAACAACTACTTCCCTGGCTAATGCCACGCAGGATATTGAATTACATCCTCCCGAAATCTATGTAGTTCAATATCCTGCGTGGCATTAGCCAGGGAAGTAGTTGTTTTCTCCCGAAATCTACCATTGTTGTTCATTTTATGAACACTGTGTGGAAATGACTGTGAGCTTTTCACATTCATTCATTACTTCATTCCACTGTGAGCATTGTGGCTATTTCGTAGTTCAGAAAAATTATTGATTCAATCGATTAACTGTCAAACACATTAAACATTTTGTGTAGGTACACCACCTCTACTTAGTGAAATAATTATGAAAAAATAGACTGATAGCCCTGTGGATCATCGTATAAGAGGAACAATTTTACTTTTATTATTCCAAATGGTAGGATCATGTGATGGGTACATGGCGAAAATATAGACAGATAGTTTCTGTACCAGTAGCTGAATTCGGAAAAATATGTTCCTATCTTAGATTCCTCAATATCATGAAATATTTTCGAAGGTTTTCATCTTGACTCAAACAAGCTATTGACAACCTGCAGACATTGATCAGAATATCAAAACATTTTGAATAATATCGGTTTACTAATGATATTCAAATTTCAAAGCCTACCAAGTGTCGATCTATATATTGACTGGTTTTATGAGGAATTTCTCTATGAGGATTCACAACTTTCGTTCAGACAATACATGTTTAATCTGAAATGTATCTAATGAGTTTGTATGAGATGTGTATGTTTCTGAGGATTTGAGAGCTTTGAAAAGGCAATAGTGAACTGCAATGAGTTTTGATTACTCAAAACATGTCAAATCTGAAATGTATTCAATAAGTTTGTATGAGATGTGTATGTTCTGAAGATTCAAGAGATTTCAAGAACAATACTGATCTGAAATGAAAGGTATCTTTATGAGTCAAGATACGGCTAAATGGTGGTAAAGAATGCATGAGTGTTGATGAGGGTAGACTAGACTGTATTGGTATGTAAAGATAATTTATGCGGAGTTCCTTTATGAGGATTTACGAGTTTCGATTAGACAATACGTTTCATTTGGTATGTATTCAATGAGTTTGTATGAGATGTGTACGTTCTGAGGATTTGAGTGCTTTGAAAAGACAATACAGAACTGAAATGGAACGTATCTTATGAGTCAATCTAAGGCAATATATATGTGTTTGGGAATTCATGAGTGTTGATGAGGATAGACAGTAATGGTGTGTTAAGAGGTTTCATGTGGAATTTCTGTATGAGGATCAACGACTTTCGATTAGACAAAACATGTCAAATCTGAAATGTTTCTAATAAGTTTTTATGAGATGTGTTTGTTCTGAAGATTTTGGAGTTTTGATCAGACAATATACTGATGTGTTTCAGAATTCATGGGTGTTGATAAGGATTGCCAATTACTGTATTGGGATATGTCAAGATGTTTCATGCAGAATTTCTGTATGAGGATTCATGCGTTTTGAATAGACAATACATGTCTAATTTGAAATGTATCTAATGAGTTTATATGAGATGTGTATGTTTTGAGAATTTTATAATTTCAAAAAGACAATACTAATACCTGAAATGGAGCGTATCTTATCAATCTGTGTTCTGGAATCCATGTGTGTTGATGTAATTGTGTGTTGAGAGGTTTTATGCGGAATTTCTGTATGAGGATTAACGAGTTTTGATTAGACAAAACATGTCAAATCTGAAATGTATCCAATAAGTTTATACGAGAATGTATGTTCTAAGGATTTCAGTGTTTTCATGAAACAATACTGTTCTGAAATGAGAAGTATTTTATGAGTCAATCTAAGGCATCCAGTATTTTAGAATCCATGAGTGTTGATGAGGGTAGACAGTTATGACTGTAATGTTATGTTATGAGGTTATATGCGGACTTTCTGTATGAGGATTAACGAGTTTTGATCAGATAAAACATGTCAAATCTGAAATGTATCTAATAAGTTTATACGAGAATGTATGTTCTGAGGATTTCAGAGTTTCCATGAAACAATACTGTTCTGAAATGAATAGTATTTTATGAGTCAATCTAAGGCAACCAGTATTTTAGAATCCATGAGTGTTGATGAGGATAGACAGTTATGACTGTAATGTTGTGTTAAGAGGTTTTATGCGGAATTTCTGAATGAGGATCAACGAGTTTTGATTTGACAAAACATGTCAAATCTGAAATGTATCCAATGAGTTTATACGGGATGCATGTTCTGAGGATTTCAGAGTTTTCATGAAACAATACTGTTCTGAAATGAATAGTATTTTATGAGTCAATCTTAGGCAACCAAATATTTTTTATGAGTCAAGCTAGGGCTAGATGTGTTTCAGGATTCATGGGTGTAGACTGTATTGGTCAAGATGTTTCATGCGGAATTTCTTGATGAGGATATACGAGTTTTAATTAGACAATACATGTCTAATCAGACAGATATCTACTCAATAAGTTGTATAGTATTCGAGCATTTGATAGTTTCGAAAAAAACTTGCATAATTTAAAATATTGAGGTTTTTGAGAATTCAGGAATGTCGATAATGAAATGACTATTTCTAACTGTAATGTTATATTAAAAGATTACATGAGAACTGATCAGACAGCAGTGCATGTCTGATCTGAAATGTATTCAATAAATTTGTATAGATTACTCAGTTTATATGTGGAGTACAATTTCTGAGGATTCAAGCAGAGTATACTAATAAGACAACACAGATAATAAACATAAATTTATCCAATGAGTATGAATGGTAAAAATGATTATCATTAAATCAATCATTTATCATCACCAGATTGAAGTATGAATGCAGTACAAAAAACATAATTTGCATGTTGACCATCAGGTAGTAACAATATAGCCGTATAAACAAAATAGTATTAATTGTTGCACCTTGAAGTTAATAAAAAATAAATATCAATAGGTACTGCAAAAAAAACCACTTGATAAGCTAACATGAATAGAAACAGCAAGACTAAAAAACCGATCTATAATATGTATATGATATGTACCTATAATCAAAATCGATGCCGTTCATTTCCCAATATTCATCATTCAAGGATCGAAGTTTGTACAGGATGGTCCAGATTTTTTTTACATTAAAGAGGTGATAGACTCTACCTAACTTAAATAATAAATGACGTTGAAGTTCGATTCTCGATTCTTCATTATATATGCACGATGCATGAATCGAAATAGGCTTATTTGTCAAAATTTCTCCAAAATTCAATAGGAAATTTAGCGAATTACTAATTTTCTCAGAAATATTTTCTGGCATACTTCATGTCTAATTTCTAGAAATGGAATATGGTACCCTAGTATATCGGCGCCTATAACGATTCCTGTAACTATTTTTGACTTGAACTACAAACTAGCAGGGTTATTTTTGTAATAGTTTATTGTACATTGAAAAACTTTTCCGTCAACCTCGTATTAACACGTCAGTTTAACGTATACGAAATTGATCATTAATGACCCCTATTAATGGTCAATTGTACATTAATGCATGATTGTTGTTTAGCATTCATGACCCAACCAAATCAAGGCACGTTTGCGAGTCTCTATATCACGGCTCTTAATAATTCATGTACAAAATCTGCACAACCCTGTATAATGCCTTAATTGCTAATTACAAGAGTTTTCAATCCATTTTCGAATTGATTTAATATTTCAATGACTGATGGTGAACCTTATTTTGATATATTTTATGAGTATCAATAAAAAATAATTTAATAAAAATAATTCAATTTGTTGAATTGGTACTTGCTATAGAGGTTTGTGATCTCGTTGGTGATGCTATTTTAGAAACACCCTGTATAATCTGGAAAAATTTACTGGATTTCAACATGATTTGGAAATTTACTTACATATGAAGTGCCATCTACTTTCATCAACAGAACCTTTTCTGAAATTTGCGATATGTCAATCACTTCTTTACACTGTACATTGTCAACAACCCAACAATTTTCAACAGAATTCTCATGTATGAAAAATAAATCACAATTCATTTTCTGTACTCTCAGTTTGATAGATTCATTCAATTTATAAATCTTCAATATAATAGCAAAATGTCCATCTATGAGCTGAACACATGAATTGTTATTCTTCTTATTTTCACAATAGTTACTACTAGAATATAAAGTATTATTGATAATCACTCTGTTATACACTGTAACGTAGATATCCTCAATTCTTTCTTTACTACCGGCACCCAAAATGCGAATATTATTTTGCAAAGTTCCAGGCAATTCATAACGAGCGATATCATTCAAATAAGTTTTACATGTTGCAGACATATCAGTATATCGTACAATATTTTTAGAAAAACTTTTATAAATTATCTGTTTATCGATGCCCATTGGACCTTTAACTGTCCGTTTGATATTAAAAATTGCAGATTCGAAATGAAAATTCGAAGTGGACCATAAAGGACCACATTTATTTACACATATTGCTAAATGGGTAAGTAGATGTACATTAAAATTCATTGCTGATGACCCATAGTAAATTTCAAATTTTGAAACATATATTTTTAATAAACCCTCTGCAAGTGTGATATCATTTGCTGTTATTTCCCTCTTTAATAGTAAATAAATTGATCTTTGCAATAAAGAAAAGTGTACTAAATATTTATTACCGAGGATTCCACGAAGACAAGGTATACTATAAAATAACAGCCAAGATCTCCATTCACTAGCTTTCCATTTTGCTTTTTCAGACAGTGGTCTGGGTGTGCGATGAATTTCATTTGGAGGATGAATCTTCAATAATCTGTCATTTACAAGTTTTAAAGTAGATGGAGATCCAATATACATTTCATTTCCATAGGTTGTCCAAATTTCCCAACACTGACGCACTACCCCCAAAAGTACCATATGCATATAATCTATGGGGTAGCCCCACACAAGATCAAAACCTGGCAAATTTATAATTGCTGCACTGCCTTTGATACCAAACACTCTTCTTCCTGATATAACTGCTTCTTGCATATGTTTCAATACATCATCTGATGATCGTAAATTATATGGTTGTACATCAGATGAATATTTCACCTGTTTATTTATTACTTTTCCAGGATGATAACAGTAACTGCATCCAAAAAATCCATTAAATTGTGTCGAATTTTGTATCATTGGTCTTGCTACTGAATCCACACAACAAAATAATGGAAAAATTCTGGATGTTTTTGATTCATTATCAAGTTTCCAACAAACCCCTTCATTTGCTATAATGATACAATTGTCAGCAAAAACATTTAGGAAAACATTCATTTTCGGTTCTGATTTTCCAAACCATATTCCAGCTAATATTATGTTTCTATGTCTTTGTTCTGGTGGTAATTCATTGACAGCAAGTTGAATGGGCCACATTGAAAGTTTAGAAGAATGAAATATAGGAGCCCCATCTGTATTGAAATTGAACGAAAAGTCAAAGTTATATTTCTTCTTTGAGGCTTGGTAAAGCTCAGAATCAGTAATATCAGAAATACTAGAATTTATATATTTTTTTTCATAATTAGATAGAATAACCTGTATTTTTACATCCTCCAGAAATTTTTTGAATTGATAGTGCAAATCCAAAGTTATAAAGTAATTGTCTGAAAGTGGTGATAGTACATTCATTGTTTCACATTGCTGGCAGATAACATTTTGATGAATTCTTGAAGACTTTGTAACTTGTGATATTGAGGACTGGCAATTCTTACAATAAAAATTATACTGCACAACTTCATCTGGTGGTAAGGACTGTTTTTCAATAAAATAATTGGTTAATCCAGTTTTTTTACCTGCTAAAGCATCAATCAATTTGATAATGTCTACCATAGCCTCTTTAGATAGAGAATGCCGATAAGACAATCCAACCAGCATTAGTGAAATGTCTTTTCTGGTCATTTCATTTTCAAAACGTATTACTGAATCATCATAGATTGTATTTTCAGTTGTTGTTTCATCTATATTTTCTGGAAATTCTTCCGTTTCCATTTCATCTTCTGCTTCCATCACATCATGAGATATACTACTACAGGTATCACTAAATGTCTTATTACATATTTCAGACAAGTCATTTCCTGTAGAACCATTACTACTATCCAATAAATGTTTTTCTAAAAAAAATGAGATACTTTAGGAACTCCATATTAAGAACAGTAACCCATGAAGGTGAATATTGCCTTTGACTGTGAATATTGACTGAGTGGCTTTTGGTTATTTATTTGTATGAATTGAATTTCACCATTATCAACAAGAATAATATGAGGTTTAGAATTTTTTATATCAAATTCTCCAAAATTATTATCCAATTAAATTGAGAAGTCAATAACCTACCTCTACTGGAGATGAAAAGCTTTTCATTTCGAACTTTCATGCCCTATAACTACTACTCATCTCAAATATGTGTGGTCCCAAAATGAAAAATGGATCATACAACTTCATACTTATTATTTGTTTCAAGGAATTATGGTTGAAAAATTGAGTGAATATAGAAAAATCAGTTTTTTCATTCAAATTGAATGCCCTGTATCTAGAAAACAAAGCATCTTATGACCAATGTTTATGGGAACTTGTCATCTTATTTTTTCAGGTACTATCTGAATCCGAGAGAGATTTCCCACATTTTCCCTGTATACTTAGATAATACAATAGTTATTTGTTTTACAGGCAGAAAGGCACAAATTTAATTCCATAGCTGATGTTTCATAGCAATTAAGGTTATAGGAATCCAGCCATGGCATTGAATCTTCTCTTCTGTCATGTGAAACATATTTTTTCTCCAAATTCATTCCAATTTCATGCAAAGAACATATTTTTCTCCAAATGACATTGAAAGTGGCTTTTTAATTACACTTGATGGATACAAAAGGTGTATTTTTACTGCATAGGCTGGAAAAGTCAACATTTTCTGATAATAGGTAGTAAAAATACACCTTTTATGCCTGTCAAGTGTCACTATAAAGCTTATTGGAAGGAATTTGGAGAAAAAAAAAATATTTCACATGACACAAGAGAAGATTCAATGCCTTGGCTATGAAACACCAGCTGTGGCATTAAATATCTTGTACTTTTTTGCTTGGTAAAATAAATAACTATTATTTATAGACCTATCCAGGAATACCTATTGTTTTATTACTTCATTTATACCAGCTATGTAAATGAAGAAACAAAACTGAATTTGACTGAATTCTACCAGTGGCCATATTGAAAGTCACTTATTTTAGGCAGCCTTATTGAATAATAATATATCTAAGAACTATGATTCAATATTCTACATGCATGAAGATATATTATAGTAAGTAGGCATATATAGTACTCATAGTAGGTAGGGTATATTTTTTGTGGTATGTTAGCCATCATCAGGAAGTATACCTTTTCCCACCTTTGAAATGATCAAAAATATAATTTTTAATTCTTTACCTATATCTACCTACTTGATTTCATTCTAAATACAAGAGTAATGAATATTAATTCACCTCTACCCATCACATCACAGTCAGATTCTACTGAATCTAGTTCTGCAAATTCACTCATTGGTTCCTCCAAACTAAGATGCTTCTCCAAATGAATAGTAGGTTGATTTTGCACAGTTATTCCTTGAGTATGAGTACTATGTTTCCACCGCCACTCTGTTGTTCTTGAAACAATTTGAGAAGATTCTGGGTCAAGAAATAATTTTCTCATTTTCTTTGATGGACCTGGATTCTCCTCTGCCATGATTTAAAATTTAAATTTAAAGTAGGTACGAACTAGAAGTAGGTATAGAGTTTAGGTACCCTTGGTACCTACTTTATTTATTTCGATTTTTTTTGTATTAACTGAACCAAATATCTAATATATATCTAATATCTATTGTAAATATTGAACTCCTAGGTAGGTAGAAGTACCTAGGTACTAGGTAGAGGCACCCATTGGCACCTACCCTACCTACAACAAGCACACCACACACCAGAGACTACGACCGTCGACCGACACTTTGGACACTTTGTAACAAAAAGTATAGTAATAATAATTATCAATATATCAATCTCGATATCAATATTGTTTGGTAAAAGGCAATAAACTATTAGAGGAATGTTTAATCGAAGAATAGTAGAGGTTATGTGGTAAATATTCATTTGGCGATTGGCGGGCATGCGACATTGCGACATGCCGGCGGCGGCGCAGCGCAGAGCAGGAGCAGAGGTACAGGTACTGGTTAATTGGTTATAGTTAGTGGTCCGCATCTAGTACAAATAGAAAATGGAACTTTTTACTTTTTAGGAGTCCCAATCCTCATTCCTCATTGGTCACAATCGTGGTCACAATAAGTTACGTGATTCGTGATATATTGAAATTTGTGTTATTCGATGAGTATTTTTGCGAATATACAGTGGAGGCCGTGATCTGATGAGTATTTTGGTGGTGTCAGAATTTGGTTGGGGTTATAGGGAGTTGTACCTGAGATCACCACATATTTCAATCCGAGCTCTGTACATTCTTCAAATGGTTATCGAAATTCACGATATTTCATATAACAAAAAACCCGGGAAAACGCGTAAAGATATATACTGCGATCAATACAATGCAACTATTATAATATTATATATATACCATACGAGTTATACGATGACGTATATATTATTATGTTTATCTCAGAAAACTTCTACAGTGGAAGTAAAAATTCTTATTGCTATATATGAAATGTGGATATACTTTATTCACTTTGTTGAGGCATCTCGGCGCCCTAGAAGTGGTTCGGATTCCATTATAAGCTGAAGGTCCCGCTCTTATTTCCTAACCCCGCACAATAAGTTTCGACTTCTGGGGAGTTGGTTTCCAACTTCGAAGTAGTGATATATACAAATTTGAAAAATTTAATACGACACTATTGGTGCCTATCGCTCTATCACGTCATCGAGATCTAGCGTTTTTGAGAGGAGATCATTTTCATTATTGGATGAAAGTATTTTTGTGATGATTTTGAATGATGATTGACTGCATCAAATATATATGTATATCATATTAATAACATGAAACGATCGCTATATCAAATAAAGGTATGTGGCGCAAATTCAACTTGTGTGTACCACCCCATAATTGTGGTGTAGGGTGTATATATAGGTAGTATGATGATGATTCGCTGAATTTTCGATATTTCCATAGTTTTTGTCTGGATTTTATAAAAATTAAAATCGATGTCAGCTGATTCCAATCACTCCCATACAATAATATCTTGTTTATTTATTTTTTCATCAGGTTTTCACTTCCTTATAATAATATATAAATATATGAATGAAAGTTTTACAGGATTATATCCGGACAACAACTAGGTATAAAATACAGGTACCTACTGAAGTTTTCTATGAACTTTTTTCGGAGATTTTGTGGTCGCGCAGAAGTCAGAAGTCGGTGATGGTGGTGTATTGGCAGGCAGTATGTGTCATGGAAAAAACTTCACAAACGATAAGATCTCCACAAAATACCTAACATGTGTTTTCAGGAATTTTGTGGAAATTTTATAGTTTGTGAAATTCCGTTTTTCCATCAATGTGTTGTGTATATTCTATTGGTACATCGGTTTCATCATAAATTTCATTATAAATTTCATCAGAACAATTGATGACGTCATGACAAAAATGCGCATTATCAGTGCGGACTTTCTTCGATGGAATGAAAAACGCACCTCTTACATTTGTCTAGGAATTTTACTCATACGTGAGTGCACATCTTCCGTCAAGTTAACCACTTCCAAAATGTGAATATAAGCAAATTGCACAAAATTGACGAAAATAGACACGATACATGTTCTGTGGTCAATTGTCACTCCTGTGTGTTGTGTGCTGTGGTCAAATTGATTTGAAATCGAACGTTAAAATTAGCAAGAATTCATATAACCAGGACATCCTCCATATATACAAAATTCAGACCAATCCTACAACCCGATTGAGATTTTGTCTCCAATTTTCAAGAATTCTCCTCAAAATTCCAAGAATTCTCCTCAAAATTCCAAGAATTCTCCCTGAAATTTCGAATTCTTTTCCCAAAATCTCTAGATTTTTTCTGAAAATCAAAGTGGCCCTGCTTACTCTCATGTTTTTTCATGAAAACGTTTGCGGACTGGTGGGTATTTCTGATGGATATCAAAATAAATATACGTAAGTATAGGTTCTAGTTATCAAATTTGAGAATTGAATTTGTTTCCTATAGCACCCTCCCCCCATCGAGGGCACTTATGTAAATCTTCCGGACTCGATATTTTTATAATATAGAGGACACGTTTTTTTTTATTTTTCCATAGCCAGCCATCAGTCCGCACATGTTTATGAAACAAATGACACGAGTAAAGTAGAGGTACCATCACTTAAGGTTGAGTGAGATAAATTTTTACCTTTACTAGAAAAAAAAGTGATAGTTTTTTTTATCTTGAAGGCCCATAAAACTTCCTTATATTGGTGAGTTACTCTTACCAATATTTTTTGAATATATAATCACCCCCTTCATATTTTGCGTACAATTTCCGGACACGACCCTGTACAGCAGTTGACTGATGCTCTGAATCACTAGAATTCAAATTTTGTCGAAACCATCATAAGGGTAATCGAATTTCATCGAGAGGACCTTTTTTATTGTAGTAAATAATTTCTTCACATTGGCGTAGAAGTTTCAGATGTTTATTTACTGAAAAAATCAAGTTCTACGCCCATGGCATATATGATATATTATTTATCATGCTTATGGGTGGTTTTATCTAGAATTAGGCTATGAAGCCAACGCGTACTGAATTTGAGTGGAATCTATATACTCAATATATGAGCCATTTCAAAGTTATAAAGCAAAAAAATGATTTGAAAATTGTTACTTCTAGTGTAGATAGCTACAACAAACAACTCAGGAAAGTTTGCTCAAAATCCTCATATCTAATTGTGTTGGTCTCAGGAATATATTATATGTGATGCGAGTTTTTGTAGTAGACCTTTCAGACACACCCTGTAATTCGACTGCATTTTTGATTATTTTGTCTATTATCTTTATAAGCAGTCATCCATAGATTAACCATGAAATTATAGCTATAGAGATGAATCTGAAAAAAATAGAGAAACTTGAAATTGAAAATGAAACTAAAAATTTTGAGAAGAAATCTTGAAATTAGGAGACTTGAAATAAATGAAATAAATGAAAGGATTGTGATGCCATGCGCCGTCGCTAGTAGGCATCAATGCAAATTAAAACAATGAAATTTTAATTTCGAATTTACCGCCATGGCAAGAATTATTCTGATTGGTCTAAAAATTCGGCTATGGAGCAAGTCCGGTCGTGTGAATTCTTGCCGTTGAAAGACGTTACAATTCGTTAGTCGGCTTCGGCTCGTGCTGTGCTCGTGCCTCGTGCTCGATTCGAAAACTCGAAAGTCGAACTCGAAACCGGTGACCGGTAGACCGGTACGCACGACGCCATCATGAAGTGAAGTGATAACGCGGTGCCGCGGATTTTTCATGATGGAAATATTGTTGCATTTATTTATGATGTGCGTTACTTTTTAGTCTAGTCTAGGTCGTGAGATTTGAAATATTATATGCGATATATATGAAGCATAATAATACTAAAAATGTGGGTATATGTAAAATTTTTAGAAGATGATGTTTGTGAAATTGTGGAAGCGTCGAACATAAAAAGATTTGACAAAGATGACATAAAATACAACCAAAAATATTCTGTGAAATGGAAGGATGGGGACTATTATAAGGCCCAAATAATATATGCAAAAGGTAAGCAGTTCAGATTGACGAGATTTTTTATTTATAATAGTTCCTTTTATTACTCAAGTCCATCAATCAAGTTGAATGTTATAGTGTTGCTTGATGTAGATTTTCCAATACTGAGTCCTGTGTATAATACCTACCTAGTACCTAGGTATTATCACCAGTTTCGTCACCGGCGATGTTAATTCTTGGTTTTGCTGGGTTTTGCTGTATATAGGTATAGATATCTCTTGTAATTTGCTGTTACTTGATTCAGAACTCCACTGATTGTTGACTGAAACTGATTGTTAAGTAATGAAACAATATACAGATAAGCAGCGAGGTTGCTGATGCTGCTGTACCTACTCTACCATAGTTATGTACTTACAAACTATAAGTATCACAGTATACACCAGTACTTGGTAGGTGTTGGTACATACCTACAAGGTGGTACCTTCCTTATCTATGCTTCCTTGAAACTCTTGAGTTGTTCTTATTGTTGTTTCATACAAATGTTAACAAGAGATTCCTCTCGTGAAAATGGAAAATAAGCAGAGGTCATCAACCCAAGAATATTATCATCATGGTTTTAGAGATGATATTTATCTACAGGGTTTTTACCAGAGCTGTGTTGGTGACATAACTCTTATCCATATAGGTATTTATTCACTCCTTAATTTCGAAGTGTGGCAAATTATTTTCTCAAACCTATAAGTCATGATGCTAATCCCTCAATAATGCAACCATTAATATATTCTGGGAATTGCCTTTCTTTGTGCTTTATAACTTGATATGTCTATCAATGTAATATGAAAATTGCACAGCTTGTGGACAAAAATTGTGGTAGAATTCACTTTCACTACCTGTCCAAAAAGCAGTTGGTTCAGTCATTATCATTCATGGAGAAATTGAAAATACCTAACTTGTCACCAATGAAGAACAAGCATTCTTGTCTCCTGAGTATCTATACATATTTTCAATGAAAATAGTTATACCTATAGGTATTTACTCTGGTTTATAGATTCTTTAAAAGATTTGACTGAAGTAATAGAGACAAGAAGGGTCAGGATGGTGAGGAAGCAGTTATTAAAAAGTGGAGATGAGAGTAGCTCAGAGGAAGGAACAGCAGGAACATCAAGAGACAAAATAGCTATAAAGAAGTCACTTGATTTGAAAAAGGCTGTAAGTATTCAAATTGAACAGGATATTTCTGTAGTTACTTATGTGTACATGTGTAGGTATAGATAATTCACTGGCATTGTCTTTTGGCTTATTTTGCATGAAAAGTATTTACAAAAGATAATGTCCTTTTGAGGCTCAATATTTATTGAGATATGCAGGATATATTGGAAGTTATTGAAAAAAATTAAATTACTTAGTTCTCATTCTCATTAAATTACCTTCTGTTATAGATTATTATGCATATGCTTTTAATAACAATAATATCAGGTCTCTTTTAAAGTTAGAGGTGAATTTAAAATTTTTTACAGGCCATGGAAAATGCTAGAAAGAATAATGAAATTAAAATTCTTAATAAACATTCATCAGAAAAAGCTCAGTTGGAACATACTTCCACTTCC